GGTACTTAAGTACAAAAATATCAGATACTTTAAGACTTTTACTCAAGTAATATTCTTGGAGAAGACTTTAACTTGTACCAAAGTAATTTCCTGATAAAATACTTGAACTTTTACTCAAGTAATATTCTTGGAGAAGACTTTAACTTGTACCAAAGTAATTTCCTGATAAAATACTTGAACTTTTACTCAAGTAATATTCTTGGAGAAGACTTTAACTTGTACCAAAGTAATTTCCTGATAAAATACTTGAACTTTTACTCAAGTGTCACTTTGAGGTACTTTATACAACACTGGCTATTTCTGTCTTTGTTCAGTTATTTTTTCAGTTCTAATGGGATTACTCCTGTCTTATCTTTTGAGCTAACTTCTGATCTGTTGAACTGCACAGTGTGAGTTAATATACTGTATGATTRAGTAGACAGAGAACACTTGATGCAACCTCTTCAACGTCAGCCTATTGATTAATTTTTYCCCCTTTTTCTGTCTAATTTTGTGTCTTGTGTTTCTCACTTCATTCTTTAGACTCAGCGATTGTCAATGGGGTTTACTGGTCCGAGGCTCTAAACAAAGTGTTTGTGGACAACTTTGAGAGAGACCCGTCACTCATATGGCAATACTTTGGWAGCGCCAAGGGTTTTTTCAGACAGTACCCAGGTAAGCGTGTGCTTATTTTAGGGATAAATGTGGTGTTGCTGTGTTTGTAATTAGGTCCCTGTCCTGTTAAAAAGTGAGATGAATGGAGTTTGGAGGTTATCGGTGAATGGCAGTGTGGGGAAAAAAGAGCGATTTTTCTAATTTTCTTGTGTGATCCTCTAAAGGAATCAAGTGGAAGCCAGATGAAAACGGAGTTATAGCTTTTGACTGTCGTAACCGGAAGTGGTACATCCAAGCTGCCACTTCTCCAAAGGATGTGGTGATCCTGGTGGATGTCAGTGGCAGCATGAAAGGCCTGAGGCTGACCATCGCCAGACAGACGGTGTCCTCCATCCTGGACACTCTTGGAGATGATGACTTTTTTAACATAATTGCTGTAAGTTAACCCTTYGCTGCACATAGTGAGAGATGCAGAAACACTGTACTGATCAAAATGTATTCTGTAGTCCAGGTCTGTTTATCAAGCAAACATTTCAAGGGCAATAATAYGTGTTTCTCAGGCATATATTTAAATTTTATACCATAATAAAGTAACTATGTCACCTTCAGTTGTTATTAAAATGCTGTTTTATGTTTAAATCAAAAATAAACTTGATTTCTCRTTCATTTCCGTTTCTAAATGTCTTGAATTTGGCCTCTGTCTTTTAAGAACCTCTTCTGATCCCATCATGCCKATTTYAGCACGTCATCACAACAGCTTCATGCCRTTCTCTCTCTKCYGTTTAAAAGCTGGAGTGTCGTAGCATGCTTTGTTGTAATGATAATTTAAAAGCAGCAACATTATACATGATTTTACATGATATTSCCCCTYTAAACAAATGGCTCCACAAAACTGAGAAAAGTACAAACTGGTGAGCAACTTCTATTGACCATAATAAAATTGAGTAGCTGTCAATAAACAATCCTAAATCATGACAGTGAGGKGGGCAGGTAAACCTGCACACCTGATTCACCCATTCCTCTAAGGATTGATGACAACAGCAAAGCTGGGGAYAAGCTCCAAATGAGGTTTGGAAATCTACAATTTCTGAAGGCATGGCAGACCTCATGTTGTTTTGTTTGGCTGTTTGGTCTATCTGTGATCTATGGCAGTGATTCCCAACTTATTTAGTAACGGCTATGATACAAAGTCAAATTTATTTTTGATTTATAAATATAAACAGCATTTTCATAACAACTGAAGGTGACATAGTTACTTTTTGTTATGTTATAGAATTGATCTATGCCTGAGAAACATATAATATTTGGCTTTTTAAAAATTGCAAGTGTTAAGCAAGTGTTCACATCTGTTTAACTTTAATTGCAACATCCTTCCATTAAAATAATTATTAGTGTTATCCAAATCTTTGATTTTGCATGTACAGCACTTTGCTGCAGCTGTTATAAAGTGCATTGTAAATAAATTAGTAGTATTAGACATTGTACATCCGGATAAAAATAGATAATAGAAATTTAGTTCTATGTATAATGTGAGTTTAAAAAACAGTGTTTCCTAAATTAATTAATTCTGCTTTATAAACACAATTTTGATCAAAATACATATATGCAGGAACCTTGATCTGACTGTTTCCACATAGTTTTATCAGTGAATAAATCTCAGCCTTTTTGTACATATTTAACCTTAAAATGAATAAGATTAAACTTTTTTTCTTAAGGTGCTGCACTCATTGAACTAAAAATGTACAGTTCAGAGACAATGGTTCATTGTGGTGAGACTTTGTGCAGCAAATTCAACACATATTCATACAAAGCTTTTTCAGTACAATCCATAGGGACATATTGGGAAACAATTATTAGCTTTGGAATAACTCAGTTCCATTGTCTTTCTTGGACTTTGATCCATTAAATGCTGCATTTTGTCACAGTATTGCAGACACTTGCTCCAGAATGTGCTTTGATTTCCATCAAAATGAGTGAAGCTTATTACTGTTTTTTTTTCCTGTGTAGACTGTGCTCACGACATTTATTCATTTAAGCTGATTTAAAGTTTTTGAAGTGATCACTTCATTACAATTTTTCTCCAGTACAATGAAGAGTTGCATTATGTCGAACCATGTCTGAATGGAACGCTGGTCCAAGCAGATGTAACCAACAAAGATGTAAGTTATTTTTTGAAGTTCTTTTAAATTATTGTAGTTTTTCTCTTTTTTTTCACTACAGTTGAATCATTTAGTCTTTTACAAACAACCAGTGCTGCAAAATGTGATTGTGCTGAGTCAGAAGCAGTCAATATGTAGTTTTTCTAAATATACTACACTTTAATGTAATGTTTACTGAAGAGTTGATATATGACACATTTATTAGGAATAATTCTCGTCATGCCTTTGTGCCTGAAAGTTAAACAGTAAACTTTACTTATTTCAGCACAGAGGCAGTAAACTGTCCAGGTCACAGATAACAACTTAGTCTCTTTTAGTTTATTTAAAACACTATAAAATAATTGYTTACTTACCTTTATTAATTAAAACAGCCTCAGAATCTAGATTTTTACCAAACTGCACTTCCTGCCTGCATACATTTGGTTTGTTTTAAGTTASCTTCTGTTTACATGTTTGTGTCAATACACTTATGCAAACAGATTAGAACTGTGTGTTTATTCCCAGAAAGTTATTTAATCCACTTTGTGTGCACCAGTGAAATAGACAAGGTACTGTGCACCAGCTGATAAGGCTAGTTAAATACAGTGTATATATATATATATGTATATACGTATATACATATAC